CCGTTGGTTGAGTTTCCTCGCTGCTTCCTACATTAATTCAACAAGTTTATTACACAGAAGACTCCGATTGGATTGTAAAGATTCGTCCCAAGCGGTCAGACGTAACAGCGTAACCAAGGCATGTTTAATGACTGCGTTTGTATGTCACACACTGTTGTTACCTACATTGCGTTGCTTAATGCTTGTCCGTTGACGATACAAATATTGAAAGGCATAAATAACTTCCTCGCAGTAATAATTACTCACGCGTCTCACGATAAGGATAAAGACGATGCATAGCAGCAATTCAGACGTAATAATTTGGTTACAGGTCAGCTTTTGTCATTTGGAGATAAGAGGACCCATAAACGCCCTACCCGAAGTTAACATAAACTACAGAATAACGTTATGTTAACAGCGATTGTTGCACGTAATAATTGTTTCATGCCATGTTCTTTATCAGCAAGATGTGGTGCTATTAGTACTGTGCGCTGAGCTTCGTTCATACTCATCTCTGTTAAGAAGCAATGGCTGTTCATTATTATTAATGTCCCGGTCAACCCGACAACTTCAAGCATCTCAGTCTGGAGGATTGCATGATTGTTATGCGCATTTAATTTCTGAGGTACGACATCGAAATTTCGTTTCGGATTATCGGCGCTTCGAATTACTACTACTACTGACACCTAACTTCCTTCGATATCGCTTTTGCAGTTTGTATTAACAAAGTTTTGTTTTTAGGGTGCTTCCGCCATGCTGCAATCTGATTTTTATTTCTGGATGACCAATGAGGAAATCTAAATTCGTAACGCCCTTCGAACAGAAAGCAGTAAATCATGAATTTTCCGCCCCGTGAAGCGTTTGTAACGACCGTCGCACTATACTCCGATATTCTTTCGCAAGCTGTGTATTCTAAAATACTCAGGACCTATGACGCAATCTCAGATCAACGGAAACTCCTCTTCGAACTTCTCCATAATAGGCAGCATAACGAAATATGCGTCAGTCAGAAGGACATGCGCATGATCCAACAAGATGTCAACCTTACAAAATCAGAATGTTTTCACTTTACGATACACATATGCGCCAAGCTGAGTGGACTGCGTGATGGACTGAGAAGCCAGACGATATAGCAGAATTTTGCAAACTAGAAGAGTACAAAATTTTGAACAGCCGTGAAAATGCTGCCGATGAATACGAGCGACTGCTTACAAAGGTGACTCTGTACAAGGATCTTGAAGACAGAGGTATCCTGTACGTTGGACGGCGGAAGCCGAACACAAAAATCCACAGTATCGCACCTGCGGATCAGGAGAGTTTCGTATTGTAGTCAACGAAACCGACAGCCGACTTCATCCCGAAGAGTGGCTAGAAATTAAGTCCGAATTTTATGCATTAGCTGATCTGGCGCGTCAACAACAAGAGACTACGACCACGTTTGTGCTCGTGGATTGCGAAGTATCCGGTCAAGCTGCTCCAGGCAAAACAAGCGCTAATGTCATCGTACATTTCCAAAATGGGCAGCCATTTTCCGGTGAGGTGATACCGGGGAGCACGATAACGAAGACATTCCAGGAGCCATAGCACGAACGAACGAAATTCGAACAGGTTGTACGAACGAAATTCGCCTTTAAGAATCAGCGCCGGCGCGGAGCTTTCGGTTCGGTGTGTCCCGGCTACCGTCAGTCAGGCTCTTGCCCACGAGAAGCAGTGTACACCTGGAAGTGCTATGTGTGTCGTAACGCACTGGAATACGGATTCGAGTACTACTTGTACTGCAAATGTGTCCGAGCGCCAGCTGGATGTTACGCATTTCACTGTCGGCAGCATAACCATGGTCCGAATTACATAAGCTTTGAACCGCTCGTTCTGGCCGCAATACTTGACCGGCTGAAGCCATACAACGAAATCAACATACTGATCATGGGAGAAACCGGTGTCGGGAAATCCACATGGATTAACGGTTTTGCCAATTTCGTCACATATTCAACTCTGGAAGAAGCCGTCAATGAGCCCATCAGTTTAATTCCAACGCGCTTTACCCTGGTCGATTATCAACGGCATAAGCACAATATTACCTTGGGAGAAATTAGCGCCAACGAAGATACTGCACCTGGTCAATCGTGCACGCAACAGCCTAAATCCTACGTTTTGAAGAGTGGAAACGATTTGATCCGGCTGATTGATACGCCGGGCGTAGGGACACGCGGTGAACGGCGCACGACAAGCAGAATTTTCACAATATTATGAGCCACCTGACGCACTATGAAAGTCTGCATGGTATCTGCGTTCTGTTGAAACCGAACAACGCGCGCCTGACGGTGACGTTTCAGTTCTGCATCAAAGAGCTGCTGGCCAATCTGCATCGAGATGCATTTAAAAACATATTGTCTTCGTATTCACCAATGCCCGGAGTACTATGTACCAGCCGGGCGATACATACGACGCCCTGGAACAGTTGATTATTAACTCGGCCGGATGCAGCGGCGATATCGACTTAAATAACAAACAAAATATTTACTGCGTGGATAATGAAGCTGTGCGTTTCATGGCTGGGCTAAAAAACGGTGTGTAATACGTCGGTTTTACCAAGGTGGATCCACCTTGGTTTTACTATCCACACCTATCCACCTTGGTTTTACTAATAGAAGATAAGAGACATGAGAGACCGACCGTGCTGTATCTTTATTGATGGCACGTGATGACTGTACGCGGATGGTACAATGCTAGTATGCATAGTGCATACAGATGACCAGAGATCTCTATGTAGATGACTTGGTACACTGTACAGATGGTACAACAGTGCAGAGCTTATAATTATAGGAATTCATGCTGTGTTCCTATAACTCATGCTGTGCAGCTCTTGTTGGACTATTTGAAAACACGTAAAAGGCAACTTGTGGAAGAAATGGACGCGATCAGTAAAGTTGCATCGACGTTTGCTTGTTTCCTGAAGGCTAACGCTATTATTCCGCACAGTGACGCCATGGAAAAATACTTGCTGTATCTTATCAGATTGGAAGATAAAAAAATTGATGTTGGAGGCGGTTACAAAAATCGGCAGTACTTACAAGATACCCTGCACCAATACAAGCAAGAGAAAAGCTTTATGTAACATGCTCTCTGCATCGGCTCTCTGGAACTCCAACACATCAGCGCTTTGGACAATGACGCAGCTATTAAATCCCTTTACAATTAACCCATTAACGGCTTAAACATCAAGAATTTGGTGGAAAGTCAACAGTATGCTGCCACACAGCAAGTCGAGCATTTAGAAGTGGTTTACACGCTAATAAGACGGAATCCGCAGTTAGCCCAATCCGATCAAGGCTTTTTTGAACGGGGAGCCTCGTATTTATTTGGCCGGCGTAACGCGTAAGGACAGCGGTCGTCAATGCCAGTATGAAATATTCTGGCTCCACAATCACCAATTACCACAATACAGGCGCAAATGAAGATCAGATCCCACAACAATTTACCCCAGCCACCAGCAGCCAAAACCCAGAGCTTCCAGGCAAGAGCGATGAGTGTACGAATCAGGACTAAAGCCTAAAGGGTAAGAAAAACTACGGTTGATGGACTGACTGGACTACACTTTAGTTTCTGCACTTGATGATGCCGTATTATACAGATACATGAGGAGACTGGAGGTCTGCTTCTGTAGCTTAACCAGCAAAAAATTTTCTATTAGCTTAAGCAGGCATTATGTATACTCGATGCTGCGATCATTCTGCAACGGTTACACCATGGTGACATTTAAAAAACAATAATACGCGAAGCCTTCCTGCAGTCTGGATATCTCTCTTAATCAAAAACGTTTACAAAAACTCGATACCGCAATCAGATCAGCCGTGGTCCAGAGTTACGTCATTCGACTTAGTTTCTTTGAATACGTCCAATCAGAATCGTGCCGGCACGATGCCGCAGTTTCGAGTTTACATACCATGAAATTCAAAAACCAGCCTGGATACAAAACTTGATATTAATGATAAAATACATATTATTGATTAAATTATACTTATTTTCGTACGGGGCCCGGTCCAGCAAAGTCGGCAACGCAGTCACTGTGTCAAAACGCTAACTTGCCTTCCCTGCCCGTGGAGCCGCCGTAGTTTAACTCTGTAAGTAATGTAACAGTCAGCGGTGGATTGCTGTGTCTAAGCGACAACCCACGGTTGACTGTTAAGCCAGTTGTAAATTTACCAGGGAAGGCAACTAGTCTTAACGTCTTGACAAAATAATGATTGCACTGGCGACTCTGCTTGCAGTTGCTCGGTCCTCGTACCGCAAGGAGCACAAAATTAATTACAAGTTAGCCTCCCGGCTTTCGCCGTCAGCCCGTTTGTTTGATATTTCAAGGCTTTAACCACAAAGTACCCGGCCGATATATCTGAGTAAATACTGTGAGTTTATCGGGCTATTTGATTTTGCTAGGATCACGCTTTAAGGATTCACTAGAACCGCATTTACGCACGCACGACTTCGTACCGGCTTCCAACAATTTGATACATTTTGCGAAACGAATGCCGCAAGGGCAGAATCTCTTCGATCTTTAGAAATATACGCTCCCGTATTTATCAATCTGATCTCGTAGTTTCATTAACATATAATATTATTATAACAAACAAGAGTTCGTTCTCGAGAAAATCAAGTTTGGCGTGTCACAGTCTGGTAGTCGGTCGCAATGTCATTGTTAAAAATTTCGTTTGACTCGTTTAGTTTCATGTAATAATGCAGTTCTTCGTCTTCCAGAAATTTCTCTAAAGCCTTTCTCAGCTCCGAAAAAGTTGGGCGATCCACAGATTCCTGTTGCCAACAGCGTCATGACGGCATATCTAGAAGAACAATAAAAAATTACAAACCAAAATCCTAGCGAAGCACAAAATTATGTGATCACACAGTCTTACTGCCTCGTGTGAGCTGACGCGCTTAACATTATTAAGACTGAGCTCCTGGTTATGAAATGCTCGTTACATGAAAGCGGTAAACAATTCATTAAAATATTAATAGCATTCCTTATTTCAGTAGTTAATCCCAATATTGATGTACAAGAAACTTTTTGATCTTAACACTAACGTTTCTTTTGGGCAGTCCGCTGGTATGGCCAGACGCAGTCCGTTCTGCAAAGCGGTCTTGACTGACTGGCTGCCAATTTCCGTGATCGCTTCCTTGTATGGCACGGCACCAAAGGTAAATATTTCCCAGATGACCACACCGAAGGACCATACATCCGACTTTTCCGAAAACAGCCCTTGCTCCAGACTCTCCGGTGCCATCCATCTTACTGGCACCCTGGCGTTCTAAAATCACATAATTGTTATGTTACCGGCATCTAAAAATCGGCTTTTCTGACGTAGGTCAGTAATCGACTCCGTGTTCTACCATTTTAAGATTTGAGGTAAAAACATATTGAAGCATTCAACGAATTTTGTCTCTGCTGTCAGTCATACCATCGAAATTTTAATTGATTCTTTTAAATTACAAACACAAGAGCACTAGAGTGAGGAGATATAGAAAACTATGCCGCAGTTACCCCAAATGATTAACGTTACCTGATTGGCCATGCGGTATTCGGATCGTTGTTTGGCCAGTCCAAAGTCGCAGATTTTCACAATCTTATTCTCAAATAGGAGAACGTTCCGTGCTGCTAAATCTCGGTGAATGATGTCATGCAGTGCGAGATATTCCATTCCCCGGCCGATCTGATATGCGAAACTAAACAGATCCGTATTTGCAAACGGCCGTATCAAGGCCAAAGCGCTGTCGTTATCAGTTTGGTTGCTCATATATTCTCACTAGGACGAGTGCCTAATGTGGGACTCTTGTTGTCAGTTATTTTTTTATGATTGCGAAGCTGTTTGAGCAAGGATCCATATGGTGAGTATTCGAGTAAGATGTGAAGCTGACCTTTCAAAACCAAAAAGGGCATTTTTGGACAGAATAATGCGAAGCGCTTTTAATTATTTTTTGTAGTACATACTAACTTTATGGCAACGAGACTACTTTGCATTCTCTAATCTCGGTTAAATGTACCTGATAGCGTTATACCGAGAAGATTCACGATATTCAAATGCCGTCCAGCTTGACTGTGAATGGTAACTTCGTCCATCAGAAGTTTATGGTGGTGAACGTCCAAGGGATTTTTAACACACTTTACAGCGACAAAACACGGCGTTGAACGCCGATACAGCTCGTGCGCCTCTGCCTGCCAAACTTCACCAAATTCGCCTTCATCGACTTTTTGTTCTAATGAACGAAAACGCATAAATTGGTGTCGAACAGCCGGAGCGCGAAACACTGTCATTCTAGTCTAATTGCTGCCTTACTAAGCAGTACGGTCGCTCTGGGCACTACAAGCTTGGCCACTGTATTTGGCAGGCTCCAGTTCTCATAAATGTCCTTAAAAAAGTTCACGGTGTCGTTTGATTCACGGGGCGGTATTTGTGGAGGCATGCTTATAGCTGGAATCTGCGGCCTGCCAGCCAAATGTCTGTAGTACAGAACACCACACACGAAACAGAAGAATCCTGCAAATACAACATCGACAGCCAAAATTTTCCAACGGGAATGCGTTGAATGAACGCTGATTAATTTTTCTGAGGAATGGATACTCGGCGTCGGAAAAGAAAAAGTAAACGCTCTTTTCGTCGACGATGTTTTCGTCGGCAGCGGGCGGACCGCTCTTTTCGTCGATGATGTTTTCGTCCGCAGCGGGCGGACGGCGACGTAGTCGACCACGAGTAAGGTGGTCGCGTTAATAAGGTTGGAAGAAGAGTGCGAGAGCAAATCAAGTTCGAATGACAGTTGCATTTTGGTAGAAGGAACGGCATCCTCGTCCGATGTCCGATAGACATACCATCCACATACCAGACGAGGCTGTCAGTGTCCCAGACTACTTTAAAGATGTGAAATTTTGAATCCGCAACATTTGTTGTCATGTTCGGTTTTATTGCCATCATCACCCAACGATCCGAACCAAAACGCTGACTAACGCCAACATTAATTTTATTCCGGTATATATTGAAATCGACTATAGAAATCGCTTGTCCCGGGCAGGTCCGTGAGTTGTCGAAATCGCATTGGGCATCGATCAGCCGCAACATAGCCAGCACAAAGTTTTGATCGCTAACCGGCAGCTTGGCTCTTATTATAACCTCACCGTAAGTAAAGGAAAAGTGTGAACCGGTGCTAACTTGACCCATGCAGTACTCCGCGTAGGTGGAGTTTTCTGGTCGGATCTGGGCGCTGATATGGAGGGAGCCATCGCTAATCCATATATTTTCCGATTTTCTGTAGACAACCCCATGGGCGCATGTGGTATTGTCGGATCTCAAATTCCAGTCTTTGTCTAATGTATTTGCGTTGAAATTGTCGCGAAATATTTCATATTTCGCGAAATAGTTCATATTTGGGCCGATATCTGCTAAAAATTACCAAAGCAATACAACTCAACAATTTCAGCCGTTTTGGCATTGGTCGTAATATCTGCAAAGTACGAGTACAAGTACTGTACTACTACTACACAAAGTACAAGTACTGTACTGCTGTACTGAATGTGCAAAAGTACAAGTACTGTACTTTGCACATTCGCAATAATAATTATAAGGTCGATGCTGCGTGCACGGGGAAACACGGGTATTGGCTGCGTGCACGGGTGTTCGCACGGGTGTTGGCTGCGTGCACGGAGTTCGGACACGGGTATTGGCTGTGTGCACGGGTGACCTTTGTGGGGCGCACAGGTGTTGGCTAGGTGCACGGCTTTGTAATTTTTTTATGGTTTTCGAATTTTGGTCGTAACATTTACAGTTCTCCAGGTCTTACTCAACCGCAACAGTTTTTTCGACCGGTTTCTGACGTATTTTTTCATGTGCCATACATAGTCTAGAAACAGTTACAGATACTTTGTTTTACGGCTCAGATTTTTTCTATGCGGCTTGATGCAAGTAGAAATGGTGTCAACTGCATGGTTCATAAGCGGCCACCAAGTGTGTTCGCATCAGAGTGATCAGACCATGCTCAAAAAAGGCCGTTCCATGATCCATCCCGAAAACAAACGCGGTAGTCATGGCTGTAGCCTGTATTACAGAAATTCTCATGTTTTCGGCTCTTGTTTCTGTGACTTTCAAGAACTTCATGGTACTGCACTAACAAGCATTAGGTGGTAACATATACTGTACTTGCTATGCACAGTAAGTTTCGCAATACATTTTTAATTATGTAAAAAACTTATGATTAAAAGGGTGACACTATAGGCACCCCAAAAACCCCCGTTTACTATAGGCACCCCTTTTCCGCACCCCGTTAATTAAAGGTACCCTTATCTTATTAATTGATTCTTTCGTGCACCCTGTTTTTTATAGGCACCCCTATGAAACTTTAGCATATTATAATGTAAGTAATTGTAGTGTTAGAACCTAGGTACGATAACTATGTTCGCAAAAGTATGGAAAGGCCGACCGACGTCGATGTTATGTTCCCTCTTGTTCGACTTCAGAATGCTGGGTCGAATCAGTGTGGCTCATCACGGGCCTGACACCAGAAGATACAGTTTTTACAAAAACCGAACCGCACCAAAAATGGTTAGCAGAAGCGCTGGACAAAGAGGAGGCCACCCGTGTCCGAAAAGAACCGGCAGAAAACCGGCATCCGAAATTACGATTGCGAAACGAAACATCAAAATTACCGCCGACGATGCGATGCGATCATTAGATCCAAGTTAGTAGATCAGCGTCACCGCCCGATCATCGGATGAAAAGCCTGATTCTGTCTCTATGCGAGTATCTGTATGAGACTGCCGCACGTACATGAAATCATTTTCGAATTCTGTATCCGAAATAAGCTATTAAAGGGTGCCTATAAAATACACTGACAGGGTGTTTCTATTTAATAAACAGAAAAGGGTGTCTATAAATTACGGGGTGCGAGAAGGGGTGCCTATAATAAACGAGGGTGTAAGGGGGTGCCTATAGTGATTTCCTAATTAAAATTAGGAAACCGTTATAGGCACCCCCTAAAACCCCCGTTTATTATAGGCACCCCTTTTCACACCCCGTTAATTATAGGCACCCTTTTTTGAATTAAAAGTTATAATAATATTATCACATATTCCAAAAATTTTTTTTATCATTTTATACAGTTGCTATGACCGTAAAAATAACAGACCATATACAACTATATATATATATATCTATATATAAGAATTTGTATTCTTAAATAGTAATGCAGTTTAAGAACTATTTAAGAATTTGTATTCTTAAATAGTAATGGATAATAGTACAGCAATTTTTTCTGGCATCGAGTTAAGTACATCAGGCTTTCCAGCCTATAATAGGACGGTTAGGTAAATCAGCCAGCCTAGAACGAATTAATATCGCGTCTTCTACTGTGACTAGAAGGTCATCTTTCGCGGTAGTCAGCTCATTCACTGCCTTCCTTCCAAGCCGTTTAGGACACCGTGTGATTTTCTCAGCCTGTAACACTTCGGCCAACCATTCCCTTTGCGCTGAGGCTTTCGCGAATACAGTGCTCGCCGGCGATACTCCAGAGATCTTTCACACGGATTTCGTTTAAAACGTGATTAACCATTCCCTCTTCCGTACGGCCACCGCGGTAAACTTTTTCCGCTTTGTTGCGGACATTTTGTATGTCTTGGGCTGTTACAGCTTTGCCGGTCTCTTTAGCAATTTGACGTTGAATTGCCCGTGCAGGGATGTGCTTTTGTACTAACTGTCTGAACATGGCTTAGGCGACGATTTTCCGGTAGATTTTTCCACCTGTCTGCTGTCAGTGGATGATTATGGCCCATTTCTCGTTCCAAAATCCGTAGGACGTGGCCGCGAATGCTGGCTGCAAGCCTGACGCGAGCTGGGCACTGGTTTCGTCGGCTATGAGTAAATTTCCGAGCGCCAACGCCCTTCTTTTCGTATTCTTTGTGGTGCACGCATTCGTAGAAAATCTTTCTGTACTTAAGGGACGGCTCCAGAGCTTCTCCGTTCTTGAACTTTTCGGACCGTCGTATTATAAATGTTTGGAACGTTGCTTCCTGATACGTCTTGAAGTCTTTCTCGAATTCTTCAAATGAAGGGTATTCGTCCTTCAGGTCAGCGACGTTGTCGAGTGAGGGGAATACTAAATCAGTTGAGGCTTCCGATGGCCCCGATGCCGGAGGGCTGCTTGAACCCGCCATAATATGATATTTGCCGGTATTGAGAACCAAATTATTGATGCATATGTAATATGTATGTACAGCTTAGGACAAAATGGTCGCATACCCAACATCTCCACATTCAGTACGAATGCAGCGCAGTGCACTGTACGTCTGAGTTCAAAATATCCGTTTCGTACAAGCGCACTGCACCGCTTGCGTACAGAATGCTGGGTATGGGGCTATGCGACCATTTAGTCCTACATTGTATAACCCTATTACACTGACCTTTTGTTCAAAGTAAGTTTTTACGGTCATAGCAACTGCATAAAACGATAAAATAAATTTCTGGAATATGTGAATTATATATATTCCTTTCACATAATACTATTATAACTTTTAATTAAAAAAAGGGTGCCTATAATAAACGGGGTGTGAAAAGGGGTGCCTATAATAAACGGGGGTTTTAGGGGGTGCCTATAAGGGTACCCTTAAAATTATATATTTAAATTTAAATTAAAAAATTTGAATGAGTTACCCGTGCACGCAGCCAGTGCCCGTTCCCAAACTTCGTGCACCCAGCCAACACCCGTGCGGACCCAAAAATATCACCCGTGCACGCAGCCAACACCCGTGTTTACCCGTGCACGCAGCCATAATGTAATTATAACTATTGACGACTTCGCATAACAAGCATCCGCAGCACAGGCGCACACTGGTATATAAAATAAAAAATATGCAGATAATTTGCAGCTGAGCTGTTAGCTTTGTTATTCAGCCTCAGCATAGTTGAGCCGCGCCATCTGATACAACATAGCCGAAGCAATCGTACTCTAATTGCTATGATACAGTAATTTCATAACTGCCGAGCGAAGCACGGCTTTTTAAAGCTATACTAGGTTGAACAAATTCTTGGTCTGTTTGTGTGTTCGTAATCACGATTAAAAGCGATCGATGAATCTTATTGGAATTTGCCGGGAAGTTTTCTTATGGTAAAAGCTCCGCGCACCACGTTTTACTACCAAAGTCTCCGCACACCATTTTTCACCACCACCCGGCACCGCGCACCACTGTTCGCACCACGTTTTGTCTCGGGCCGCCATCTTTGCGACACCACCATATACAATAAAAATACAATATTTGTTGTATACTTCTACAATAAATATACAATAAATAAAAATAAATAAATGTATATAAAAATACCGGCAGTCTGAGGACACTACTGTACTCGTAGTTTCGAAGACATACAGGTACAGTGATCGGCTGTTGTACGGCTAGATATGGGCTATGTTGGCATTTTTTTGTGCCT